TACACAACACCAAGCCTCAGGCAACCCCACCCTGTTGTCTGGGCAGCCTGGCCCTGGGACAACCTTGTGCTGAGGCCGTGGAGCGGGACGTTCCACTGGCTGAAAAGGGTATGAGACACTGGGCCCTGTGCCAGACAGCTCCCCCTGGCTACCACCACTAGGCATGGAGGGGGTTGGAGAGTAAAGCCGAAGGGCAGCCTGCATGAACGTGGGAAGGACTGGCCAGGCCCTTAATGCCCTACCCTGGAGCCCTGGCCACCTCAGGGCCTCCAGCTGCTGGCAGGCTCTGCCCTACCTCTGCCCACCTGGCACTTCTCCTGTGCTTTGGCTGCAGGCTCCTGTTTAATGAGGCTTTTCCCTAGTTCCCAGGGAAGGCTGGTAGACAGGATGAACCCTTTGTCCACCAGGCAACGCCCCATGCCCCACCCCACTGCTCCTGTCACACACATACATACTAGGCCAGAGGCTGTAGGCTGAGCTGAATTCTGTGGTTTCCTAGGCCTAGCCTGAGCTGTGCTGCAACCTAGGGCTTAACCAGCCTGGCCAAGGAAGGTCAGCTCTAGCCCTCCTCAGGGAGGGTGGTTTGCCCAGAAGCTTGCTGTGGAGCCAACACCCCTCCGCCCCAACCTTGCTCCAACCGGGCAGAGTGGGACTCTGGAACTCTCTTCCTAGAGCTGGCACCTTGGAAGTCTTAGGCTCTGCTCCTAAGACTTCCCAGGGTCAGAGCTGCTCACCCAGAAGCCAGGCTTACAGCCCTGAGTGCCAAAGTGCCAGAGCCAGGGCTGGATGTCAGGGTCTTCTCGGAAGCAAGATCTTAGACTCAAAAGTCCCCTGTGGTGTAGAGGGTGTCCATTCCACCCTTTGGGCCAGGGCACCAGGCATTTGTGCTCTCAGGCAGTGAATGGTGGAATGACTGCCACCAGGGTCCCAGGTTCTTGAGGGAGTAGACCCTGAGGCACAGTCTCCTGACTTTCATGAAGCCTAGTCAGGGCTAATGCTGTCTGGCTACCACTACCCTAGGAACCTATCAGGATCAAAAGGCCCCAGAGGTTTCCAGGAAGCTTCCTACCTTCATAAGCCCTCGGCTCCAGCTCCTAAAAATTTTATAAAGCCGGGTTTTTGCATCTGTGACCAGTGAGGTAGGCAGGGCTGATATTCTCATCCTTCTTTTACAAGGGGCAAACTGGCCCAGGATCCCATAGTGAAAAGATCAGTAAAAGGTCAGTAAGCCTTGAGATGAGCTTCCCAACTCACTCACTTCACATCATGGTACACTTAAAAATTATCACTGGAGCCCTAACCGGTTTGGCTCAGTGGATAGAGCGGCGGCCTGCAGACTGAAAGGTCCCAGGTTCGATTCCAATCAAGGGCATGTACCTTGGTTGCGGGCACATCCCCAGTGGGAGGTGTGCAGGAGGCAGCTGATCGATGTTTCTTTCTCATCGATGTTTCTAACTCTCTATCCCTCTCCCTTCCTCTCTGTAAAAAATCAATAAGTCCTGACCGGTTTGGCTCAGTGGATAGAGCGTTGGCCTGCGGACTAGGGGGTCCCAGGTTCAATTCCAATCAAGGGCATGTACCTTGGTTGCGGGCACATCCCCAGTTGGGGGTGTGCAGAAGGCGGTTGATCGATGTTTCTCTCTCATCGATGTTTCTAGTTCTCTGTCCCTCTCCCTTCCTCTCTGTGGAAAATCAATAAAATATATATTTTTTTAAAAATCAATAAAATATATTTAAAACAACAACAAAAAATTATCACTGGAGTAACTAGAGAAGGAGGTTGGAGGCCGAAGTACCTATGGGAAGTCCTTGGCATAGAGTGTGAGGAAGAGAGGGCAAGGTAATAGGGTTAGAGATGGAGAGGGGGCCTAATCGTGTAGAGCTTTGTAGGCCCAGGTAAGGCAATTAGAGGCTTGAGGCAGAGGAGGATGTGATCTGATTTATGTGGCTGCCAGATGGAGGCCTGGCTGAGGGGGCAGGAGGCTGCTGCAGTCATCCAGGTGAGAAGTGGCTGTAGCATGGACTTGGTGGGGGATCAGGAGGAAATGGTTGTTTTCTAGGTATATTTTGAAAGTAGAGCCATTAGGATTTGCTGACAAACTGGATATGGGTGTGAGAGAAAACGAAGAGTCAAGGATAACTCCAAGGTATTTGGTCTGATCATCTGGAAGAATGGAGTAGCCATTAATTGAGGAAGATGGAAAGGAGCATTTGGGGCAGAAAGTCAAAGGTTTTGCTTTGGACATATTGAGTCTGGGTAGCATTTTAGACCTCTGAGTAGAGTTTATGAGTAAGCATTTGGAGAGGGGAGTTCCTAGGAGAAGTTAGCACTGGAGATATAAATGTGGAGTCATCAGATGAAGATGCTTAAAGCCATGGATGAGAGCACCCTGGGAGTGAGCTGAAGGCCAATTTTGGGTCAGGTCAAGAAGAGAATGAGATGGAACCAAAGCTGAGGAATAGCCTGTGAAGTTGGAGAAAAATCAGGTAAGTGTGGAATTCCATTGTGGAAGACTAATGAAGAAACTGTTTCGAGGAGGAGGAAGAGATCAGTGTGTCCAATGCTGCTGAGATGACATGAAGATAACATGAAGACTGAGAAGTGACCACTAAGATCAGCAACATGGAAGTCATGGAGATCTTGGCAACAGTCATCTGGCGAAGTGATAGGGAAAGAGACTAGCTAGGTTGAAGAGAGGATGAGAGCTGAGAACTGGACAAGTGAATGTGGACAGATCTGTTGAGGTTTTCAATAAAAGGGGGATTGAAACATGAGGTGGTAGCTGGGGGAGGATTTACAGATGTGAGAAATGAGAGCCAGTGGGTACCCTGATAGGAATGAGACTGGGCTTGCAAAGTGTTTGGCATAGTGCCTGGCCTGTGACTGGTACTCAGTATATGAAGGATTTCACATGCATCCACATACCCCACAGCTGTCCCAGCCCACTCCTCTTTCCAGCCACCTGCAGACCCGATGATCCTACATCCCACCTTCCATTCCCACACATACTCCCAAACTGTCACAGTTGTGTCTGAGCTCAGTGCTGGAAATAAAAGAAAGCCTGAGATTGGCACAATACTCCCCCAGGAAACCTGGCCTCAGAACAGCAACAGGAAAGTCACAGCACCCAAGACCTGGGGACTGAATGGTGCTATCATTACCCTCCCCAGGTGATGCTGCCAGTGGGCTGCCAGGCATGCCTGCCATCTCCAGGCAACACTCGCCTGCCCTCAACCCTCCACCCCCACTTGGCATATCAGGCCTAAGTGTCTGGCCTGTGTGGGGACCAGCACCAGAGGGCTAGGGAAGCACTATGAGTAGCATTTCCTCTGCACCTGTGAAGGCTCTGTAGGATGAAAAAGGGGCTTCCTACATGTCCCTTCCTCATTGCCTGACACCTAAGTAATTGAGCTCTTGGGTATTGTCTGGTTTTATCCTCACAACAACCCTCTGATCATCTCCATTTTACAAGGAAATGTATGGTCAGATATTGTAATAAGTTCTTGAAGGCCACACATGTTAGAAAAAGGATCTGAACATGGTTGGCCCACTCTTCCTCAAGTTCACAGCAGAGAGCCCTCCCTGGGAGTGACAGAGGGAGGCTCACCTGCCCTGCCCAAGGAGGCCAGGAAGGCTCCAGTCAGAGGTAAGGCATCGAACTCAGGAAGGTGCTATGATGCCATATATACGCCATTTGCAAAGGAGGAGCCACTGCTATTGGGACATCTACCCCTCTGCCTGAGGACAAAAGGAAGGCTAATTAGCTCTGGGATGTAAGGTTGCTCCTGGTGGGCAGATGAGCAGGAGACTGATAGGTGGCAGTGACAGTACCTTCCCTAAGCCCTGAGGGGAAGTTTGCAGTTTATAGCCCAGCCTCAAGCTTCCATGGAGGCAGGAATGTAGGAAAGATGGAGGCCAGGACTGTTGCTGGGAGGTATGGGAGCCTGTGCCCACCTGGTAAACTCACACTTTGACTCTATGCAGTTCATACCCCATCTTCCCTGTAGCCTCACCCTGGACCCCAACAGCCAGTGCTAAGAGACCTGTGCCGAGATGTTAAGGAGTCTGGCTAAATTCCACTAGTGGGAGATTTCACCCACAGGGCCACAACCTCTCATTATTGTCTTGCCCCAGAGATGTCCCATTCCTTCTGTGCCATGGATCAGAAGTCACTCATCAGTGCTCCCAGCATCCCCACAGATGGACTTTCCTGAGTGGAAGTTGGGCCTCAGTTGTAGATGATGTCTCCAGAGCCTTGGCCCGTACAGATGTGTGCTCAGGATATGCAGAGCTGGGCCTTGGCCCTGAGCAACAACTCCCTATGCCTGGGTCGCATGGGGAGCCCCCATCTCAGCCTGACTGAGTCATCTCATGACAGATCCATGTGACTAGTATGAAAAGTAAGAGTCCTGTGGTGTGAGCAAACAGGAAGTGTGGGGTTGGGTGGGTTGGCCCTGGGGGAAGCCTGGCCCCACTTAGCCCCTCCCCTGAGTTAGAGGGCTGAGCGGGGGCTCTTGCCTGTGTCAACAAATCCTATTAAGCCTGAGGTGGTACAGAAGGTCAAAGTCAGGACCCCTAGTCTGGGTGCTGGAGGAGGAAAGAAAGCTGCTAGGGTAGGTCAGCTCCTCAGACCATATCCTGATGTATGGACCTAGAGGCTGTGAGCAAGTCATAGGGCCTCAGAAACCGGAGGATCTCTGAAACTGGGAGGCAGCAAGAATTTCGTGGACAGGGGAGATATGCCTCCTGGAATTGAGTGCACACTCTCTACGAGGTGGGATAGCTTGGGCAAAGTCTGGGGAGGGGGAGGTGGGCAGGAGGGCTGGATCACTGGACACTGCCTGGTTTGAGTGGTACCCCCTCCTATGAGGACTGTGGTTTTGACCACCCCCATTTTCCTTTGACAATTGGGCTGCTCCCACACACAGCTATAGCCCCAAGCCCTGTGCCTTCCTGCCTCAGGTCTCCCCACAATCACCCATCCTCCTCATTTTTTCAGCACAACAAGGCCAGTCAGCCTGCCCATGGCGTCCCCCAACTCTCTCCTCTCTATGAACATTTCAGCAGTCCACACCCCACACCTGCACCGGCCGACATCAACCAGAAGCAAGGTACAAATCTGGGATGGGGAGGGGCCCAATGAGACAGGTGGCTGGATCCTTTTTTACAACTAGAGAACCTAGTGCTGTGCAAAATCGGGGCCCTCCTAGATGCCAGAAAAGTGGATCAGGGGACCTTGGAGGTACCAGAGGGCTGGGGGAGGTGGTGCCAGGTCAGAATTTGAAGGCTTCAAGTTGAGGTAGAAACCTAAATCCTGAGTGACCTCCCAATGCCAGTATGAGAGCAGGCATTTGTGTAAAGCTGATTAACTATAACACTTATAGCTGTTCCCTCCCCCAGTGAGAAAATGGAAAGTGGTGGTTGTGATGGCTGATTCACCTCAGCCTCAGGCAAAGTCATTCTGAAATCAGCCACTGTCGACTGTGGGAAACCTGCTGACTCAAAGGGGGTGCTCGAAACCCTGGCTCCACAGGCCAGGTTCCCCCAGACTCGGGGGGAGGAGGCAGTAGAGGCCCCAGTTGCAGACTATCAGTGGCAAGGCCTGGCCTCCCATTCCTGAATGACTCCAACTGACCAGCCAGTGTCCTCAGTCAAGTCACCCAGCCCTTCTGCCTTTGGTTCCCTAGCTTGTAAATGCAGCACTGTTATCACACTGGGGTAGTCCTGAACAAAGCCATATGTATGGTACCCTAACATGGAAGGTGGGATCTTAGAAGCCCCCCACAGGAAGCTCTAGAATGCAGTAACTAGCTAAAGTGACCTCCAAGTCAGGCTAGCTCACTTACTTGGCCCTCTCCACTGCAGTTCACAGGCCTCTGCAGACCTCTGACCTCTCTGGCTTCTACTCTCTGACCTCAGGCAGCATGGGACAGCTCCCCCACACTGTGAGCTGGTGAGTGTGGGCCCAATGGGAAAGGGGCACCTCCTGATTTAGACTCTTACCTGCCCTTTTTTTCCATCCTGTGCTGAGCACCCTGCTGCCAGTTCTATATACATACCAGAGCTGGCCAGCAGCTCTATCATTCCTCAGGTAGCCTGACATATTCCCTTTGGCAAGACTGGAGACTAGGCTACGGTCCCAGCCCTGTCGCCCTTGAACTCTGCTTCACTGTCTGAGACTTGAATGAGAGAACCTTGGACTGTTCAGGGCCATCTATGTGAGGAAGAAAAGGTAGGCCTGAACAGGGAGATAACAGCATGAATGGCCATAAGCGAGGCTGTTGCTTCTCAGCTACCTGGTGGGCAGGAGGATACTTCCCACTCACCTCAATGCCTACTGCTGGCTGGACCCTTCCTTGGCTGAGTTGCTTGAGGGCCAGGGTCCCTCCTTGCCTCAATTGTGCCTGCTTGAGCCTAAGCCCTGGGCCAGTCTGCTTGGAGAGCCTATTTAGGCTGGGCCAGGAAAAGCCAGCCTGGACCCCAAGTCAGTAGGCCCAACTGTGGGCCAAAAGGCCTGTCTTCGGCTTGAGTTGGGTCTGGCAGGCTAATTGGCCCTTTGCTCAGCAACCACAGTGTGACTTGGGCAGGTCTTTAGCCTCTCTGGCCTGGGGCAATCACTTAACATCAGGAAAGCTTGGCTTCCCAGGAAGGCAGGGTAGGTCCCGAGGCCCAATCTAGAGGCCCACTTGTCCCTTTCTACTTGCCCTTCATCCAAATTAAGCTGATTCCTCTATTTCTAGATTCTCCTTGGACAGAGTTCCACTCTGAATACAAACCATGACTACCTCCATGAGTACCCCCAGGTTTGAACTTGCCAGGCAAGGATCTGGGCACCAGAAAAGCACTGCTGAAGCTTGCTGATCCTCAGGTCCCCCTCCTCACAGAATTCACTCTTAACTAGTGCACAACCCAGACAAGTGGCCAGCCAATTACAAGGCACTGTTAGCAGTGCTTTGACAGGACTGTAGGAACCCAGAGAGGCACCTCATCTAGTTTGGGATGTCAAGGGCTTTCATTTAGGATGACCAGGAGCTGAAGCAGGCAAAGTGAGCAGGAGAACAATCCTGACAGTGTGCAAAGGCCCTAGGACAGATATCAACCCTGTACTGACAGGGACATTTCATTTCAGGAGGCTAGGCTGGAGGGGACCTGGGGGCCTGCTGAGCTGGCTCCCCAAAGAATGCTGTCATTTCTACCCCTTAAGCACCAGTACTAGCCTGTAGAGCAGCGGTTCTCAACCTGTGGGTCGCGACCCCTTTGGGGGTCGAACGACCCTTTCACAGGGGTCGCCTAAGACCATCAGAAAACACATATATAATTACATATTGTTTTTGTGATTAATTACTATGCTTTAATTATGTTCAATTTGTAACAATGAAATTGGGGGTCACCACAACATGAGGAACTGTATTAAAGGGTCGCGGCATTAGGAAGGTTGAGAACCACTGCTGTAGAGGAAAATAGGTGCAGCACAGGTTGCCCTCTGGTGGCAGATGCTTAAAGCACACATTGGAGTGGTCCAAGCAGAAGCCAATTTGTCTCTCATCTATGGGTCAGGCCTGAGCATGGAGGGAAGTCCTTCCCCATATAGAGCCAGTAGCCAGACTGCTAACAGCTGTCTTTCCCAACCACAGGCCCAGCCCTCCTCTCTATCCCCTGTCCCCTTCCTGCGGATATAGACAGCACTTCCCTGCCCCCACTGCAGCCCCTGGCGCCCCCTATCCCAGGTGAGTCCCCTACCCTGCAGCCAGGCTCCTGCTTTCTGTTGCCCAGGCTTCAATGCCCACACAAGGCCATGTTCAGGCCACTGCTTGCCCTGTGCTAGTCGTCTGTTCATCCGTCTGTCTGTCATTCTGCAGCACCCTGCTGCCCTGTGTCTGAGAATGAAGCCAATGGGACTGCAAGAGTTCTAAACCCAGGCCAAACTGTGCAGCACAGCACCACAAAGCAGCCAGGGACAGTACATGCACATGTGTGCTTGAGCTCCTGCCTCTGTGCATGTGCAAGTCAGTCCGTGTGCAGGTCTGTATGCATTCATCTCTGTTCTGCATCCCTGGGCAGAACAGAGCTCCACCCAAGCTGAGGCAGCATTTCACATGTGTCTTCAACATCTGGCCTGCTCAGAGACCCTACACCAGGGGTCCTCAAACTACGGCCCGCGGGCCACATGCAAATACAAATACTGTATTTGTTCCCGTTTTGTTTTTTTACTTCAAAATAAGATATGTGCAGTGTGCATAGGAATTTGTTCATAGTTTTTTTTTAAACTATAGTCCAGCCCTCTAACGGTCTGAGGGACAGTGAACTGGCCCCCTGTTTAAAAAGTTTGAGGACCCCTGCCCTATACCAGTGTAAGGAGCAAGAGGCAGAGTGGTAGCCATACAACAGCAAGAAAGTAAAGTGGGAGGCGTGTGTATATGTAAGCCCCTTTATTTAGCTCACTCCCTTAGTGACAGATGTATGCTAAGTATGGAACAAGGAATTCAGACATTTTCAGCTCATGGAGCTCACCGCCTAGGGTAGGAGGTATAGACAGCACACCAGCAATTGAATTGGGCTATGCCTGTGGGTGATGGGGAAGCCCCAAGGAGACCTCAGCCAGATTTGATGGGTCACAGAGAGCTTCATAAAAAGGGTTAACATCTCCTGAGTAGTAGGGGATGGCTGGAAGTGGGAAGTGATGGGAAATGGGGGAAAAGATGGGGCTAGAAATGTCAGCAGGGCTGTAGGCAAAGGGAGAATTTCAGCAAGAACAGTCAGGAGCACGCAGGTGTTTTTAAAAGGTCATTCTGGCTGTTGTGTGGAGAGAGTCCTAGAAGAGTCAGGAGAATGAGGAAGCACACAGGGTAGTCACAGGCTCATGAGGCTGAGCTGGTGAGGGCAGGTGGTGACAAGGGGAGAGATTCAAAAGCTATGTAGGGCTTAATTTAGTAACCACCTAAACAATGAATATATAGATTTTTGCAATGATGTCTTTGTGATGTGTTGGGAGCAGGTATTTGTATGTATCAGTGTACTTGTATGCAAGCAAGGGTGGGGTATCTGTTCACCTGTCGTTTAATGTGCAGGGCCTCTGTGTTTGCCAGGGTCTGTCCTGCACACACCTGACTCAGTGTTAACTTCCTCCTGCCTCTAGGTTCACCCACCCATCCCTGATGCTAGGTTCCAGTGTACCTGGTCACCCAGCAGCCATTCCCCACCCGGCCATTGTGCCCCCCTCAGGGAAGCAGGAACTGCAGCCCTATGATCGAAGCCTGTGAGTGAAAAGGCACAGAGTGGGGAGGAGCGGGGGGGGGGGGGGGGGGGGGGCAGACTTCAGGTTCCCATCTATTTGTCAGCCAGGATACACATCTCTTCCACCAAGCCCAAGTCCTGCTGCCAGAGGAAGCCTTTGGTCAAACTGTTTTGTAGCTATTGCCACGGGCCACTGTTTTTTGAGGCTCTGAAGCAGGAGGGATTGGGTGGAGTGAGAAACAAGGCTTTAGTCTGAGCCAAGATGGGAGGGGCTGAGAAGTCCTTACACATATTTTTCTTACTTAGCTGCAATATTCCTATAAGGAACAAATACTTAACTCTGGTCACCCATTTTGGAGCAGCTAAGAAAAACACACACACACACACACACACACACAAAACAGAATTTCACTAAAAAACCCCTAGTATCCATGCACTTACACATGCAATGGACACACTACAGGGTGGTAGCATTAGGTGGGCATGTGGGGACTCCCAAGTGATCTGGACATGTGCTCCTCAGGAAGACGCAGGCAGAATCCAAAGCAGAGAAGGAGGCCAAGAAACCAACCATCAAGAAGCCACTCAATGCCTTCATGCTGTACATGAAGGAGATGAGAGCCAAGGTTATTGCAGAATGCACACTCAAGGAGAGTGCTGCCATCAATCAGATCCTGGGCCGCAGGGTGAGGCCACAGGCAAGGTGGGCTGGCAGGGGTGGTACAAGCCTGATGATTGCCTTACACATCCCATCTGCCCCTCCTTCCCCTTTGCAGTGGCACGCACTGTCACGGGAAGAGCAGGCCAAGTATTACGAGCTGGCCCGCAAGGAGAGGCAGCTGCACATGCAGCTATACCCAGGCTGGTCAGCGCGGGACAATTACGTGAGTGGCCAACAACACACAGGGATGGGTAGGGGAACCTTCAAGATTCTATGCCCTGGGCCACAGTCTCCGCAAGAAAGGAATATTGTCCTGAAGGCACAGATGAGGGAGGTGGTGGACTGGTGGAGGGTCCATGGCCTCCCGTGGCTAGCTCAGGAGAGGATCAAGCAAGGGACACAGGAGGCAGACCCGTGTCCTGTTTTCTACCCAGGATCTATTCCCATGCAGGGCTGTTTCCCAGTATTTGATTGGGGCTCATGAGCAGAAGGGGAGAAAAGGGCCTGGAAGTTACTCTTCCATTCAAAATGGAGACAAGTGTGAGAAAGGGAGGAGGAATCCCTAATTGCCCCATATTACCTAGCAAGAACTGCAATCAAGAAACTGTGCCTGGAATCCTAGCGACAGCCAGGCTAGGCAGCAGGCTGCAGGTATCCCAGCCATTTGCTCACTGGGATTAGTGTCCACCTCCCACATCTGAGGATCCCTCCCTTTATTCCCTGCAGGGGAAGAAGAAGAGGCGATCCAGAGAAAAGCACCAAGAATCCAACACAGGTGAGGCCTTCCCTCAACAGTAGTGGAGGCTCCTCTCCAGGTCCCTATGTGACAAACATCACTGCTCTAGCCCAGAAGGAGGGGCAGAGTACTTGGCCATGAACCTTCAATGCCTGGGCCCTCGACTCTGTATACAAGGCCTGGCATCTCACAAGTCAAATCCCTACTTTAGGAACAGCTATACTAAGTCCTAGGGGTGACCAGTAGAAGCCAACACACTCCCACTACCTTGGCTAACCCTACCCTACTCACAGCTTTGCCTGTCAGGGAAAGTTAGTGAGGAACTGACAGTCTGATCCATGTTAAACACAAACACTGCATCCTGGTTAGTTCTGAGGTGGATAGCAGATTGACTGGAGACTGAGCCAGGCCCCATACCTAGGCCCAGTAATCACCCAGCCTGCTGGCTGGTGCCAGCAATTTCTCTATCACACTGTACCCAACTCCCAAGCCCTGTTTTTCATTGCAGGTTCTAAGTGCTCTATATAGAGGACCCAGGGAGCCCACACACTGTTGCAAGTCTCCTTCCTGTGAATAGATTCCTGCCCCAACTCTGATCCACATTTATGAATGACTCTCTCAACAGTGCTGTCCCCACATGCTACAACCAGGGCAGGGCAGACCTCAGCCATTTTTCTGAAGTTACAAAATGGGCTTTATTTTCACATAGAAAGTGTGTGGAATATGTTTTAAGTTACAGCACAAGGAGATATGGGTCAGGCAGATAGAGCATTCGCAAAAATGAAAAATAAAATGGCAGGGAGTTTTGGGGTGGAGGCAGCCCTAAGGAAGAAGAGGCTGGATATGGATCCCCATGGGCATCCCTGGATTCTTCTGCCACAGCTCCCATACTGCAAGTGGCCCTTCAAGCCATAGAAAGGAGCTAGCCTGATATGGTCCCTTCTCTTCCCCACCATTCTTCCCACTGCCTCTTCTGCCCAATTGGGTGCCGTGCCCACCTTTCCAAATATCTTGACTCTGGGCGCTAGGGCTCCCACTGGGGCTGGCTGTGCCATGGAGAGGCCCTCTGCCTGTGGGGGCTGTGGGGTATCTGTGACTAGCTAACACTGATGTTACCTCTTCTTTCTGGGCCCTGCTCTGCCCTGCTGCCTGCCTGCTCGCCCTCTGCCCTGCTCTGCCCCTCTGGCATGGCTGTGAGCAGACCCTGGCTCGCCTAAGAAATGCCGTGCTCGCTTTGGCCTCAACCAGCAGACGGATTGGTGTGGTCCGTGCAGGTGGGTTTGTCCCCACCACCATCTTCCCTTTGCTTCAAGCTGCTTCCTTGACTCTGCACATGTTCTGCTGGGCTTATATAAGCCTTCCTGTGGCTCCCCAGCCCCATAGGATACCTGCAGATTAAAGAGCCCATGCCTCGTAAGAATTGGAATGAATACTGAACACATCTTGTAGGGAAGATCTTTTGGATCTAAGTGGAAGGAGGGGGAGAGACAATGTTCTAGAAGGGAAGGAAAGGCAGACTCAAGAATGTAGTTCTGGTGCCTAGGATCCTCAGGTAATGATGGTTTGGTGCTAACTAGGCCCAACTGGTCCTCAGTAGCCAAACCTCATACCATTCATCAGGTGGCCTCTGCCCCTACTCTCAGGCCTGAAAGTCATAATGGCCAACCAACTCCATCACTTCAAGTTGAGATGCGTCTGAGCCCGTAAATCTAAGAAAAATAAGGTAACTATAATAGAGAATATCATGAGTAACCTGGATGCCAAGTGACTCACCATTTTGTACCTACTGAGACCAGAGGGCTAGAGAGGAAGGGAGAGAAGAGGAGGGCTATCCTAGCCAAAGGACCATACAAAGGTTTCATCTCATAACAGAAAATATCCCTGTGTATATGAAAAGAAGGTGTGCCTATCAAGTGGCTAAAAGTTGCCTAGTTTTAGGTTTATGCCAGGCCTGATACAGCCAAGGCTGAGGCTACTCTAGGCAGTTAGTTCACTGACTAAGGAATACTTGTGCAGCCCCTTAGAGTGCCCTCATGCTTCTTTATCAAAGGATAAAGAGAGATCTTGGATAATATGTGTGCGTGTGTATATAAACATGATGGGAGGCAACCCTGTCCCTCAGGGAAGGTCCTACTTTTACCCATTCCACAATCAGAGACAAATTGTGGTCCAGAGAACTCAAGATAGTAAGAATGTAGAAGACTCAAAGAATCACTGTTCATTTCTATTTCCCCTTCTCCACGCCTAACCTAGCTTTGAGCCCTGAGATTACTCAGCCCAAAAAGCCACAAGCATTGAAGCCCCTTGCCTTAATGCTGATCTGAGCCCCACAAACATGCAGAGGCTCAAAGGCTCTCCTGGAAAACAAAGCAGCCCACAGGTCCAACTACAAAAGGTCCCTGTGCCACCATGTGGTGGTGCTGGCAAACTGCACCTGTCCCAGGTCTGGGCCAGGCCCAGCAGAGTTGCAGTGCTGATTCAGGTCTGAAGGATAAATAAGCACATCCAAGTACTGGGGAGAGGGGATGAGAGGTCAGCTAGGCCTGTGCAAGAACAGCATTTTTTGGTTGTGGTGTGTGACTATGAATTCACCCTCTATTTACAGATAACTCTCTTCACTATTCCTAGGAGGAAAAAGAAATGCATTCGGTACTTACCCGGAGAAGGCCGCTGCCCCAGCCCCTTTCCTTCCGATGACAGTACTCTAGGCTGCTCCGGGTCCCCAGCCCCTCAGGACTCACCCTCATACCTCCTGCTGCCTCACTTCCCTACTGCACTACTCGCTAGCCCTGCGGAACCGGCGCCTACATCACCAGGTCTCTCTGCGGCACTCAGCCTCCCAGCTCCCTGGGCCCCCACGGGCCCCCAGCGGTGCCCTGCAGAGTACACAGGTACAGCAACAGGAATTTCAGAGGCAGGCAGCCTAGCATGCACAGGACACCTGGCCTCCTCCAGGGACCCACTCTTTGAGAAGCAGCAACAGAGCCCCAAAGCACGTGGAAACCGATCAGGGGCCCTGTTAACTTCTTCTTAGGGTCCAGGTGCTGGAGATTTCAGAGGCTGCACAACTTCTGCCTGAACCTGGGGCCATCAATTCAAACTGCTCTGAGTGGTGCATCAGATCTGTGTTGTCATTTGATTTAAGGGCATCTCCTGTGCCGGTGGCAGCCTGCATCTTTTTACCATCTGTCTGGTTAGCCAGATGCCCCCGCCTCCCTTCCTTTCCTGCTATAGATCATAGATGGACTACCCTGAGTTCAGCTGCTTTCTCTACCCTGCCTCCTCACTCCCCCTGCACTGCCACACCCTCCCCATACCAGACACTTCATGGACCAAGAATGAGTTGGTTTATCACACATGTAAGCCTGGTCACAACCACAAAGCTCAAAATGACAGTGCTTTTCTCTTGAAGGCCTGGAAAAGCCATGTTTTACAAAAAACTAGCTACCATTTTTAAGCTGGGTCAGAGGAATCCTGCCGAATTCTCAGGAGCTTATAAGTGGATGGGATGAACAAGTTAGTTTAAATCTATACCCTAGGCAACAGAAAAACCTGACACTACCTTAATCTGGCTCTCTACTTCAAATTACTTGGAAATGATTCCTGAGAAACTCAATCGCCTAAGAAGCCCTGATATCAAAGCCCCAAGGCCTGTTACTAGTGGCTGTAGTCAATAGTTCAAAGAAGTTATGGCCCCAAATCCAGTGTGCATCCCTCCCCATTCTGAGGGCCTTTGTTACGGATCCATTTCCAGTTTATCCACCCCTTGGGCAGTGGTGAGGGCAAACACAACCTTTTGTGACAGCCAGTATCTTTCAGCATGAAACCAGGCCAGCTTCAGATTTCCTATGGTTCTGTGGGAATGAGGACTATTACAACCAAAACAATAAGCCCAGAAAACCTTTAGGGATAGACACTGGGTTTTCACCACAGCCTAATTTAACCCATTTATGAGCCAAGCTTCAACCCTGAGCCTTTAAAAAAATCTTTTTAATTTAACTTGTTTTTTTGCCTCTTCACCGTACATAGCCTGAATCCAAAGAAAAAGGGCTGTCCCTGTACCCACATACACCCTTCAACAAATGCCTTTAATACCTACTTTAGCCACTGGCTTCTCAGATTCCAAAGATCATGTATTCTAGTGTAGTGTTGCAGGAAGTTTTGAGAAAAAAAGGACCATTGTAGTATTCAAAATATTTTTGTATTGTTAATGCATCATCATAGAAAAACTTTAAATGTGAGAATAAAGATACTTTTTCCTGTTGTTTTTCCCCCCCGCCCCAAAGCTTGACCCTGAGGAATAAGCTGTTTCAGAAACAGGATGATAATTCTTTTCTTCACAGCCATGAAACTTGGGGTTTATTCTCTACTATGGTACACATGTTAAAGACTCAACCTACAGAAGCCGGGGATTACTCTCATCTCCCCTTAAGGGGCTTGGGCCTGCCCAGCTCATGCTGCGGATAAGCTCCCATTCCAAGCCTTGCTCTGAACCCACCAACCCTCTGACCTAAAAATTGATGCAGGCACAGGCCAGCCTGCCTCCCACCCCCATAAGACTATGTTGGAAACTGCTATCCATAAACCCTAAGACAATCCAACTAGAAATAGATGTACAGACCACTAGACTCCATTTTCTCTGAGAGTTGAGATTAGACTAACCACTCCATAAGTACATATCCTATTACAAGGAAAATAAGTCTTTTTATGTACTGGTATAAACTCCAAAAAAAATTAATAGAACGCTTTCCTCCCAAAAACTGTATTAAGGTGCTTGAGGTATCTCCATATTTTTATATAAAACCTCTGAAATTTGATAATTCTACAACCTTTTTACACAGCAGCTTCCATTAAAGTACAATGTTAACTTTAAGACCCATCACGAATGTAAAAGGTATCATAAAGCCACCTCAATAGGTCAGTCAACCACTGGGCCACCATCATGCATTGTAATTTTCACTGAGTTATATTTTTTGGATTTTGTGTGTCAGAGTAGTATCTATTTAAAGTAGGCCACTGGAAATTGTAATCTTGGAGTTGCTTTTTTCTGGAAGGGTGCTAGAGGAGACCAGCCATTCTCTTGACATCTGTCCCATTTAAAGAATTCCGCTCTGGCTACTGGCCTAGATGTTTCAAAAAACTACATTCTAACCAAGGCTTATGCAAGACTGGGTTACTGCATCTGATTAGATGTCTTATTTAGAGTACACTGGGTACATGAACAATGCACTCTTTGTGTATGTGAGGGTAGAGAGGGGGGCTTTGGCAACATTGTTAAAATCAAGCCAGCCTTTTTAAAAAACTGACATCAAAGAGGAAATTCAAACCCTCCTGGATCACACACATTCCTATGAGGTCTCCCGGTGACTTGAGAGTGTCCAATTCAACTTCAAATACCATACCAGTTCCACCTTACTGCCAGCCAAGAACCAGCCTCGTTTTCTGAGACCTGAGACAAAATAACTTAACACGTCCTGTACATGTTCCCATACAACTGGCATATTTGCTTGAAATACAGATCTGGAGCCCTCTCCCGTTGCAGCTGCTCCCACTGTGCTCAGGATATTGTGATGGCTTAGCATGGCAAAACTAGCAGGGATTTCCCAATTTGAAGGTGTTTCTCCCTTTTATAGGAAGCCCCAGGGCTAGGATCTTCTGAGCTGTTAACTATCTTGAATGGCCCAGAAGCATAGCTATTCACTGTACAATAATCCTGGAGAAGAAGGCCACACCTGGAGGGAAGACAAATAGTTCTTTACGTTGTTCCAAAAAAGGAATTGATTACTGTGTGCATCACTAGGAAAACAGCACAGAAGGAATTTGTCAGGCCTATATATCAAAGTAGAAGATTTGAGACCAAAAAATAATTCTTATAAAAACACTGAATTGGCTTTTGAGGTTGGAAAGGCTGTTTTAGCATGAGTTTTTCTCAGGTCTTTTCAGAACTTTAATATTTCACCATGGGTCCTTGAGACCAAACTGGCTATGCAAGCAGATCCTGGTTCTTGAGTTGAGTCAACTCACCCGATCCCAATTATTCCAATCACTTTCTGAGATCTCAAATCACTACAGGACTCTTTAACTCAGGCTTCTGGGCTCTCCAATGTCTGGAGCAGCTAATAGATTTTTAACTGGTCTTCTATTTAAAGTAGGCCACTGGAAAGTATAATCCCAGACTTGCCCACAATGGACATGGTTGTCTGAGAGGAGCCCTAATTTCATGTATCCAAAACAACAGAGTGTTTTAAAAAAGAACAGATGGGGATATTTCCCATAATCGGTTCTGTAGAATAAAAGCCTAGCTCAGGTTAGGAGAAATTTTGAAGTAGTTAGAGATAGTATGGGATTGGGCATAGAGTTAACTGGAAAGGGCAAATTCTATCCTAGGGTTAGGAATTACCCTATCCCTGGCTATACTCATGAGTTAGATCACTAGCAATAAAAGTAAGGGATATTTCAATAGCCATGAATTATATGGGAGATAGTTAATTAGAAATTCAGGCTAACACTTATTTCAAGTTCACGAGAGGCTCTGGACCATCAACCAGGGTTTACATTTTCATTCAAGGGTTCTCTCATTCCTTAATCGGAAGTCTTCAGACATGCTGTACAGTCAATGTTAAGGGTGGGGGAAAGAAATATGGAGATGGAGGAGTTACGGTCTACTCACCACCACCCCCAATGCCACTCTGGAAACCCCTTGAATATAAATTTCTGAGAGTGTAGTGCTCTGTATTCCTACCCCTCCTGTAAACCTGCTGATACAGAAATACCTGTAAACCATTTGAAGCAAAAAAAAAAAAGTTGAGGTTGTGAAATGGCATGGTCAGCACAGAAAGGGCACATGAATTTGCACCATACAGGTGGGAAGTATTGAAAGTGAAAAAACTTTAGGCTGATCCTCAGAGTGAAAGAAGAGGCTGGTATATAGCAGGTTAGGTGCTCATTAAATACTTCCTGAAAATATCAAGTTCAGTGGTACCAGAAGGTCATGAGAACAAGAGAAGTGGAAGCATATATTGTGAGCAACTAACTATACTTCATCCACAAAATGCGTCTCACACAGAACAGCTTTATCCAAAAGTGCAAAATTCTGCAAGCTAGCAGTTAGTCATGAATTAAACTATCACTCACACGAAGTCCCACATTGGAAATCTGTCAAATATAGAACACTTTTATACCACCAACAATGCTCAATGCTCATAACTACTGACAACTCAACAGGAAGGACCAAGTGTCCAAATCCTGCTTAGGTGTCCAAATGACTCAATCTTGGACCAAGGATGTTCTAAACCACCACTTACATCATTCTTTGTCTTGATATATACATTGAGTTCTTACTCATTCTTCCTTCTTTTTAAAGATAGTGATTTTAAAATATATATATTTTTTTATTTCAGAGAGGAAGGGAGAAGAGAAAGAGAGAAACATCAATGATGAATCACTGATCAGCTACCTCCTGCACACCCCACACTGGGGATCGAGCCCACAATCTGGGCATGTGCCCTACCGGGAAATCAAATGTGACCTCCTGGTTCATAAGTCGATGCTCAACCACCGAGCCATGCCGGCTGGGCTAAAATATAGTGATTTTTGAAAACAGTAAAATAAGGAGTCTAGTTGTAAAAACCCTAAATATTCAGAACACTTTAGTCCAGCAATTAAAAAAGAAGTTTTAGTTCTAACATTCAAAAATAGCAATGTCTAACATGAGTCTGATAAACACTCTTCCTAGTGTCACAAAAATCCTGTCACCGATCTGGCTTTAATGTTTCTTTCCAGCCAATAATCACCAGCAGACCTACTAACACCCAACCTCTACTGCCAGTTCCAGACTGAGCACTGCTTTCCCTCCCTCACCTTGGCATCCCTCCACCCCAGCCAAAACCAGCTTCACTTTTGAAACTAAATAAATTTTCCTCATGAAACATCTCCTAGACCCTTCCAGTCCCCTAGCCCCCACTTTTACTAATTAATCTTCTTCTGTCCAGGAACGTTTTTATTAAAGTTACCCATTCTCTCCCAGCAGTATTTATGCTTTACCACCTTACCTATATTCCAAAAGCTCCCAAGAAGGCAACCATGTCTCACCCTTCCTACAAAGGATAAGCCAGGAGCTACACTTTAGGTATTCAACCATTTCATATGCTTTGCTTTTACTTGCATTATTCTCCCTTATTCTCCCCCTTCCTAGCTGGAAAATAGTTTTCACACAAATCTAAATAATCGAAGATTATCAACTTTCTAAAGCTCAAGCAACTTAGTAGGGAAAACATTTGAGTCCTCCCCACTTGAATGTATACTGAGCTTCAGAAAAATAAAAATAAGAAAGACCTTCAAATGAAAGTGGTGGCAAACAAAAGTTAAGTGCCGAAAGATGAGTGAGATTCTGATGTTCATGGATTCGGTAAAGGGTGCTCAGAGCATGAAGTCTGTTGTTCTCTCAGTTCTCTTTCCTGGTGAAAGCCCCTGTTCAAACTGCCCTATTAAGAGCCTAGACAACCTACCAATAATTTTTTTAATTTACCCTTGGACCAGAAAACAAATTATAGGATTGGCCAATTTTTAAGTAAATTAAGAGATCGTGAGTTTTGGAATATCTGCCCACCCTAAGTCACATGCCTATAGTGACTCACTGTTACCTTCTCCAGCTAGTTCCAAGCTAAGCTCAGCACAGTCCTAGCAGTCCACCAAATTATAATATAGGTCTTGCTTAGTTCCAGCAGCTGGTGTGTTCAAACAGTTGTAGAATAAACAAATCACAACTATAATGTCACTCAAGCATCTATAACTTAAAGGGATGTCTTTGTGAATCTTTGGAAAAATATAAAAATTGTAAAGCAATACCTACCTTTGTGTGTTGCTAAAGATAGATTTATGAAGGCAAGCTAAATAAACTATGGGCATAATTCAGGATATTTCAAGTTCGGTTTCAGAGCACCACAATAAGTGAGTATTGCAATAAAGCAAACCGTAATCCTTTTGTTAGTAGAGTCTCTTGTCTTCAATTTGTAAAACACCTGTTAAGTGCCATGAAGTGAAGTGCAAGAAAACAAGATCTGCCTGTATAACCACTTCAAAAGAAGTAACTTGCTTTTACAATTTAAAATTAGAATCTATTGGAGGAGCTACATCCTTAGTCCATGACAATGTTAGGGAGAAATAATAAGGGCTTTGGTTTCATTTTCTATCAAAAGTGACATAGTCAATGAAAAACTGAAAAGTCAAATGACTCTCACAGAGGTCTTAATTACCAATAGCACCACACTGCAGGTTAACTACTGTTTCCAACTTATCCAGGCCATGCAGGCACTAAAAGGCAGAGGGAGGACTCCAGCCTTACAGTATGACTTCATGCCACAGTATTAGTTTAGAAAAGCTGGGAAGTGAGGACAGGCAGGAGTGGGTATATCTTTGAAGACAGGTTTGGCTACTATGGGAAAGGGCCACTCCTGCACAAGACGAGAGCAGAAAACTTTTTTTTTTTTTAATATATGTTTATTGATTTCAGAGAGAAAGAGAGAGGGAGAGGGAGATAGAAACATCAATGATGAGAGAGAATCATTGATCAGCTGCCTCCTGCACGCCCCCTACTGGGGTTCGAGCCCACAACCTGGACATGTGCCCTTGACCTGAATCGAAGCCAGGCCCCTTCAGTCCGCAAGCCAACGCTCTATCCACTGAGCCAAACTGGCTAGGGCGAGAGCGGAAAACTCTTGGTAGACATAGTAAAAATAGCATATAGCAAGAAAAAGGGGAAAGGGTAGGAAGAGTGCTGCAGCTAGCTTAAAGGGCCTCTTAATACCAAGCCTATGATTCATTTGGGTACACGGTATCTACAAATGGCCTACTCTTGGATGAGCTGTCAGATCTATATTAAACACTAGAGACCTGGTGCACGAATTTGTGCACGGGTGGGGTCCCTCAGCCTAGCCAGCGATCGGGGCCAGCTGAGGCCAGCTGGCCTGGGAGAGGGACCACAGGAAGTTGGCTGTGCACGTCACAGCGACCAGTCGTTCAGTCATTTGGTCGCTTAGGCTTTTATATTTATAGATGAGTTCAAGATTATCAGGACATTTTTATTTGTTTAAAGACTAGAGACATGGTCTACAGAAAGGGAACAAAAATTTGAACTACCCTACTGTCTGTCCACTCAATCTTAGCTATTCAGAAAGGTCCCAGTATACTTTACATATGGGTAGTAAAATTATTTAGTCCTGTAATTCTAACAATTTGGGGGAATTATACAGATCAAGAGCTAATAGTAATAGGCTTTTGTTTCCTAGAAGCTAATACTTCGTTTCCAAATTAAACACAGCATATGCTAATAATTTTTGACTTTCAGTAAAGGTTTATGTTTGTCATAATATTGCTAGGGATATACTTGGGGTGGTTAAGGTTTTTGTAAGAATTGGCCATTATTGCAGGAATTAGCACATGAGATACTCCAGCCAGGATGGAACTCTGCCATATTCTCCACTAAAACCAAGGTAAGTGGAAAACAAGCTTACTCTCTGAGAGTAAAGGGAATCAGGGATCCAGAGGTAGTCAAGGGGTTGACAAAGTAAACATTTTAGGCTTCTGGTCAAGTACAGTCTGTGTGTGTGTGTGTGTTTTAAATTGATTTTGGAGAGAGAGAGAAACATTGATTAGTTAGTACCTTCAGTACGTGCCCTGACCGGGGATCAAACCTGGCACCTTTTGGTGTACAGGACAACACTCCAACCGAACCACACTGGCCAGGGCTCTGTGTGTATATTTAATGATCCTTTAAAAATGTAAAACTCAGCATTGACTAGGTGGTTCTGTTGGAACATCATCCTGGACACCAAAAGGTTGCAGGCTCAATTCCTGGTCAAAAACACATACCTAGGGGGCAGGTTTAGTTCTTGGTCGAGGTGCATATAGGAGGCAACCAATCAATGTTTCTCTCTCACATCAATGTGTCTGTTTCCCCTCCACCTTCCTCTCTCTCTAACATCAATGAAAAAAAACATATCCTTGGGTGAGAATAAAAAAAATAATAATTTTTTTTTTAAAAGAAAAAAGAGTAAAAATAATTTTTAACTCACAGACTGCAAAAACGCTGTGAGCTGGATTTCACCCACACAGAGGCTGTGGTATACTATCTCCAGTACAGTCAACAAATGGGGATTCATGTGATACAGCATATGGGACTTTATGTAATAAGGCAGATTTGGAGCAAATAAGAGGTGAAGTTGAGTTAAGCTGCTGTCAATAATCTGGCCAGAACAGCTCATGAAGAGAATACAATAAGGCTACATGTGAATACGGATGATGCTAAATGGGAAAGGAAAAAAGGAAACACAGAAGAAAAAACACATTTGTGAATCATCTCATGCCACCAAAAAAACTTCATTCTACTGTAGGGGAGAGGCTGGAAACAATGACAGTGCCGTTTTGTGTGCCTGAGTACACCATTTAAGAATTAAAACACTGGCCCAGCCAGTGTGGTTCAGTGGTTGAACGTCCACCTCTGAACCAGGAGGTCAAGGTTCAATTCCTGGTCAGAAACATGCCCAGGTTGTGGACTCGATCCCCAGTGGGGGGCGTGCAGGAGGCAGCCGATCAATGATTCTCTATCATCATTGGTGTTTCTATCTCTCACTCCCTCTCCCTTCCCCTCTGAAATCAGTAAACCAACCTTTCAATGACATTAGAGGAGACAAAAGTCTATCAGCAGCTTCAGCAACCTAGTACTGCCTACGAGTCTTTTTTAGCTACAGAACCATTCATAAATTTAACTCATTTAATACTAAGTGAAGAGACACATTTAAGTACACAAAAGCAAACCGTTTACTACCTACTATGTAACTTACTTTTTATTGAAAGTATCTTGCATTCATGCTGGATGCTTTCTGGGTTTGCCACACATTTTAATATTAAAGGTTAAATTCTTTTGTTTTTTACATGCAAGTAGTGTAAATAGTTTTGCCCATATGGGATCACTGATTATAAAAAGATGACATACCACAAGGGCTGTCTTTTTTAACTGAAAAGCTAACAACTGCATAGTTATATTTCCCCCAAAACCACAAACTGAGTAGTAACTGAGTCTCTAACCAACATAAGATTAAAAATGCAAAAACAAGTCCTCAGATTCAATTAAGGAAGCCCTGCTACATACGGGCTAATCAATACCAGTGGTACTCCTTGACTCCAGGAAGCTGAAAGACATCCTAATAACCCCACTCAGAACATTTACCTCAAGTAGACTTTTCCAGCTTCCAACTCATGAATAAAGATAATACATTGTTAATTCTATTTCAGAAAACTTTTGCAAGTTGTTTTATTTACAATGCCAACTTTTGAAAAGTCACTAAACTAAAGTTAACTGGACAATAAACTAGGCAGAAATCGCTTTGCAAAAAGAGGGAAAGCCCAAAATGCCACTTTCTATAGAGAACCCACAATTCAGTTTTATTCAGAGCAAAGAAAAGATATTTTGATCATACTGGAAGAAACTCAGCCATAGGTTTGGAATCTGTACCCCAACTACACATGCAATGAAGACAATATTCTGCTAATACAATTGATTTGCTGCTGCATTTGTCTACTGTTTGCCTAATATTAACAATTATAAACAGAGCAGTGCAACTAGTATTTGGAACAATCCTTACAGTGTTACAGTGTCAGGCACAACTTTTCACTTCTCTTCACACCACTGGTTCTCTTTGCGTACCTAGAAAAAGAGATGGATATAAGAAAGTACCTTAAGTAGTCTTTCCTAAGACTAATACTTAGTAATTCATTAATAATCTCCGAGGTTGATCATAAAGAAACAGATGGAAAACTGGAAAAACACCAGGTTAATAGTAAACTTCCTAGTCACCCTTCTTTTCCTCCCCTAGGTTATTTTGCCCTGCTGAAATTATCAAAAAAGCAAAGGCATGCCCAGCCAGTGTGGTTCAACAGTTAAGCATTGACCCAGGAAACAAGAGTTCACTGGTTCAATTCCCTGTCAGGACACATGCCCAGGTGGCAGGCTCCATCCTCAGCAGGAGGCAGCCAATCAATGACTTTCTCTCATCATTGATGTTTTTATCTCTCTTGCCCTCTCCCTTCCCCTCTTGCTAAAAATCAATAAAAACACATTAAAAATCCGTAGCCTGTTTTGCTCAGTGGATAGAGCATCAGCCTGCGGACTAAAGGGTCCAGGGTTCGATTCCAGCTGGGGACACATGCCCGGGTTGCAGGCTCAATCCCCGGTAGGGGGCGTGTAGAAGGCAGCCAATCAATGATTCTCTCTCAACATTGATGTTTCTCTTTTTCTCTCTCCCTCTCCCTTCCTCTCTGAAATATATTTTTAAAAAAGCAAAGGCAGAGGGCAATTATAGCTTCAGTCACTAGAGCTAACAGAGCAAATTCAAATAGTTCATTCACATTATTCCAGTTTGTAGCTGTGTCAACAAAATCATTCTGATCTATTCACTAATTTCTTCCCTGTTCACTAAGTTGCTCTGAAGTATCCTAGCATCCAACCATCCTGCTTTTCTGAAGTCATTTATGTCTTATATGTAAGGTCCCAGATGCCAAAACTAGTAACTACTAAGGAATAAGTACCAAAGAGCACCTCTGGCTGAAAAGTATATTGTTCTTATGTTTATAAAAAAGCAGTATCATTCAAGTGTTTAGACTCATTTTAGGACACAGAAGGTACCTGTAATGTTTTAGGACATAGAAAGTATCTACCTCTTACACCCCAAATAGTCAACATTCTTTGATACAGGCACTTTCTTTTCCTGATATGTTATGGATTTTATTCTCTTTTAAAAAGCATGTGATCAAGAACAAACTATTGGCTACATACCTGGGCTTCCTCTTCTTCAGTAAAGTCATTTTTTATATTGAAGGTCTTGCGAATCTCTTCAGGGGTTTTCCCCTTGATCATATTGGCAACAGTCTTGCATGTAACATCAAGCAAACCTTTGATGTCTAAATAGTTTGCAGCCTGTGAAGTGATTGTTGTTTTCATTAAAGTATATTTGATGGTTTAAACTAAATACAAAGTTAGCAGTTGATAATTCATATCTAATTAAGCTTAAAATGCTACTTTTAAGAAATTAAATGGAGAAGAGTAAATCAGACAAGTTTTGTGAAAGATATTTGTTCATACCCTTCATTGTATACCTCTATAATAATGAGTCCTCCTGCTGCCTTAAGTAAACTATATACACTACACCTCAAATGTTAAAGAATTGCCATACTGGGGGGGGGGGGGGGGGGGGTGCGTGTGTGCACAAAGCAAGTGCACAAGCACCACAGGTCAAATCTTGACATTTAAAGAATTCAAACATAAGCAGTTACAGCATTACATTTTATTGATCTTCTGAAATAATTAGCTTTTGGTTTCTTTGATTTTCTCATTTTCTATTGATTTCTGCTCTTTAACATTCCCTTTGGGTTAATTTCATCTTTCACTAGTTTCTTTTGGTAAAAATTAAATCACTAATTTGAGATTTTTCTTCTTTTCCAATATCAGTGTTTAGTACTATCAATTCCCCTCTCATGACCCTCAGGAGGAGGAGGGTCATCCTTGTGGTGGGTGTTCCACTGAATGACCTACCACAAAAACAAAAGTTCATTCCTCTGTGGCATCTCACAGATTTTCATGTATTCTGCTTTATTTCCATCCAATTCAAAATACGTTATAATTTTTCTTTTGATTTCTTCTTTGACTCATGGAAAATTTGTTTTTCAGTTTTCAAATATCGGCAAATTTTCCAGATAGCTTTCTGTTACTGATTTCTAATTTAATTCCACTGTGATCAGAAAATACCTTGAATTCTTTCAAACTTGAGACTTATGTTATGGCCCAGAACATGTCTAACCTTGATAGCATTTATTTGAATATACACAGAATATGTATTCTGCTGTCACTGGATGTAATGTTCTGTAAATGTCAATTAGGACAAGTTGATCAACAGTGTTACATAAGTCTTCTATATCCTTACTGATTTCTCTACTTGTTTTATCAATTATTTATAGAGAGGCCAGGAAATCTCTAACTATGACTGTAGATTTGTCTGTCTATTAATCTTTGAGTTCTATTGGTTTTTGTTTAACTTTTTGGAAGTTTTGCATTTAGGCAGATAAATGTTTAGAACTGCTCTGTCCTCTTAATAACGAACTGATTCTGTTATCATTATGTAATGACCCTTTTTAATCCTGGTAATATTCTTTGCCCTGAAATCTACTTAATATAGTCACTCCAATTTTCTTTTGATTAATATTAGTATAATATATACCCCCCCTTAAATCTACTGTGTCTTTATATTTAAAGGGAGTTTTTTGTAGGCAGCATAGCTGAGTCTTGCTTTTTTTAATCCAATGTGATAATCTCTCTACCCTTTAATTGTGGTGTTTAGACTATTTACATTGAATGTGATTATTGATATGTGGATTTGAATTCAGAGTGTTAAAATTCAGTATCAGCCGTAACCGGTTTGGCTCAGTGGATAGAGCGTCGGCCTGCGGACTGAAAAGTCCCAGGTTCGATTCTGGTCAAGGGCATGTACCTTGGTTGCGGGCACATCCCCAGTGGGGGGTATGCAGGAGGCAGCTGATCGATGTTTCTCTCTCATCGATGTTTCTGACTCTCTATCCCTCTCCCTTCCTCTCTGTAAAAAATCAATGAAATATATTTTTTAAAAAAATTCAGTATCAATTAATTTAACAAATTAAACTCTTTAAGAAGTCTAAAGGCTCTGAACTAGAGTGTCCTACAGTGTTCCTTAAAAATATACCAGAATAGCAGCTCTCTATGGAGCACACCACACCTTCGCCCATCCCCTTCTTTCTCTAGTGCACTCTCTTTTTCCAGTGCACCCCTCTGCCTCTCCTCCCTCTTTCATCTCTCAAGGCACATACCTCTCTCCCTCTTTCTCCTAAGCTCCAAGGGTCATTCCATTGCCTCTGTAACTTTCTAAATAAATCTTCCTTTATTAAAAAACAAACAGGGGGGGCGGGGAGGTTGGGGGTTAATGGGAAATGAGGACACATTTGTAATACCTTAACCAATAAAGAAATTAAAAACAAACAAACAAACAAACTTACCAGAATTAGTTCAAATAGTGTTCCTTGGTCAACTTTGAGGAATTCTTGGTCCCAAACAGGAATATCATCTGTTCGCTTTTCTTTGTTCTCATCATCCTCAGGAGGAGGAGGGTCATCCTTGTGGTGGGTGCACCACTGAATAACCTACAACAGAACAATAGTTCATTCCTCTGTGGCATTTTATCACAAGGTATTCATTCCACTGCTGGGGCAAGGTTATTCCTATAATAAGCTAAGAACTAGCTAGAAGTTGACTTGAATAATAGTTAGTAGCCAAGCTCGAAAAGCAAATATGAAGCTTGAGGAATCTTCACATCTCTAGAGGGTGGAAGATCTTAGATATCAGCTAAACCTTGCAGACTATACTTGACCACATTAAAAAGCTCTTGTGCAAAAAGATAAAGTCACACAGGAAAAGGAATGGAAAATACATACAACTAGCAATGGATTACCCTATAGAATATAAAATCTTAAAAATCACTACAAAGAAATAAGCTAAAAACAAACAGGCAATTCATAAATCTGATTAGTAAAACAGGAGGAAATACTCAGCCTCACTAGATGCAAAATTAACACTCTGGTCAGATGCAACTAGTTTAGATTGCTAAAAAATATATATATTTTTTAAATAGCGATGTGAGAGAGACACATCAATTGGTTGCCTCCTGCATGCACCCCATCTAGGGCTGGGGATCAAGCCTGCAACCAAGGTGCCTGCTTTTGACCAGGAATCGAACCCAGGACCCTTCAGTCCGCAGGCCAACACTCTATCCACTAAGCCAAACTGGCTAGGGTGTATTAAGATTTTGATACAAATTATTAGCAATAATAGTGTAAGGGTAACAACCTCTTCTACAGGAGAGTATAAATTGGAATAACCCCTTTGAAAAGTAATCTAGCACTACCTAGTGAGACTTAATATGTACATACCTTATCACCAAGCAATTCTAAATACAGACACATACACAAGACTACTCAATGTAATAACAAAACAGGAAAAGCCCACATGTTCCCTTAGTAGGGGAATGAACACATTATAATTAAATTTTCAGGAAGCTGATCAGCTAGACTAGATGTATGATTGTAAAGGCCAAAACCAACACTGAAAGTATTAAGCTGTAGAATCTAAGTGGCGGGCAAATGGGTGTTTTCTGTATGATTAAAATTTTTCCACAGTATTTAATATTGGGGGGAAATGCTGAGAAAAAATGGCAGAGTCAAGAAATTTTACTGCCAGGATGCAAAAAAAGTAAAGAGCTATTTCAAGAAGGAAAAGCCAAGAATAAGGGGATTTAATGAAATAAACAATAGCTTTTTTTTTTTAAAATATATTTTATTGATTTTTTACAGAGAGGAAGGGAGAGAGATAGAGAGTTAGAAACATCAATGAGAGAGAAACATCGATCAGCCGCCTCCTGCACATCTCCTACTGGGGATGTGCCCGCAACCCAGGTACATGCCCTTGACCGGAATCGAACCTGGGACCTTTCAGTCTGCAGGCCGACGCTCCATCCACTGAGCCAAACCGGTTTCGGCAACAATAGCTTTTTAAGAAGTATTCCAGTCTTGTAAGAAAAGGAGCACATAGGCCCAGCTGGTTTGGCTCAGTGGATAGAGCATCAGCCTGCAGACTGAAGGGTCTCGGGTTCAATTCCTGGTCAGGGCACATGCCTGGGTTGTAGGCTCGATCCCCAGTGTGGGGTGTGCAGGAGGCAGCTGATCAGTGATTTTCTCTCATCACTAATGTTTCTATCTCTCTTTTCCTCTCCCTTCATCTCTGAAATCAATAAAAATATATTTTTTTTTAAAAAAGGAGCAATCAGTATTTGCTTATATAGGCATTAAAAAAAACTCTTGAAAGGATATAAAAGAAAGTAATGTTTACTATTATTTATGGAGGTTTCTGGTCAGATGAGAGACAGGAGATTTTTATCATATATTTTTAGGTTTTGGATCATGTGATTATTCAGTATACTTAAGGTTTAAATAATCTTTTTTTAAAATATATTTTTCTCTAGCCATTTTCCTCTAAGTCTAGCCAGTTTTTCCCCCAATGTGGAAACTAGTTGCTGTTGTTTTTTTTTAGATAAGAATTCAATTTAAATAGCTAGTTCTGTTAAGGAGCCATGTGACCTGAAACACTAAAACCCTATTCAATGTGGAGAGCCGTTTATGCTTAGACACAAGGTAAGGTGATCAACTGAGATAACAAAAGTACATCTCTTATTCTCAAGTTCCCTTTGAGGCACCCATTCAGTGGACAAACAACACAAGAATTTTCCTTTTTGCTAGTCACATATAGTTATATTTAAGTAATTTAAATGTGTTAATGAAAAGACTAGACAATTCAAACTCACAGGGCCAGGTTAAATAAACTACAACAAATACTTAGTCAATGATACTACAAAGAGTTCTAGATTTTTTTAAAAGGAAGCTATCTCTTTATCAATATAGAAAGATCACCAGGATACTATTAATGAAGAAAGAAAAATCACATACAAGTATACAGCTTGCTAATTTACCTTTTTTAATATTGCTGCATTAACATTTGGTAGAGGAACTGGGTCATCATCGCCTTCATCATCCATTCCCAAATCTAACAAAACCAGAAGAGATTTGCCATTATTTCCTACTCCATTATAACATTTATACGAAACTAGGCTATTTCTCAAAGAAGTGACTAGCATGACATGTCTGAAAGAGTATAAAAAGTACTTTACTAAGAATAGTTCTTTTAACAGCATTTAAAACTGGTGGTTCCTAATAAAAAGTCCATGAACCAAAAAAAAAAGTCCATGAACCACCCAAAACTATATAAAGTTGTGAGTGGACAAATATAGTAAAATTATATCAAAAGATTTCTTAAATAGGAAGAAAATTATGTAATAAATGTGACGGAGATGGCTGGGCAACCATTTAGAAAAAACACACAAACTAAACTCTTATCCTCATTCTTTATACTAAACCAGCTGTGGGCAAACTACGGCCCGCGGGCCGGATTCGGCCCGTTTGAAATGAATAAAACTAAAAAAAAAAAAGACCGTACCCTTTTATGTAATGATGTTTACTTTGAATTTATATTAGTTCACACAAACACTCCATCCATGCTTTTGTTCCGGCCCTCCGGTCCAGTTTAAGAACCCATTGTGGCCCTCGAGTCAAAAAGTTTGCCCACCCCTGTACTAAACTCTCTAACTGGACTGCATTTAAAAAATTAAAACAATGACAGGTATCACATGTAACAGAATCTCACACAACACACACAACATATCATGCAGTCACTGACAAAAACAAGGCAGGCAGCTCCATACCTACTGGTATAATTTCAAGATTAAAGTTTTAAAAAATAAAATACATGTTATCTGAATAAAAAAGGGAATATATATTTATATTTAAAATAAGGAACTGTTAAAAATATGCCCGTTGAGAGACTCAGTTTCAGGGTATAACCTTTAGTGTTGCTCATCGTGTACGTATTACCTATAATTTTGAATCTGTAAGTTTCTCTGATTAAAAGGCCTACCTTTCCGATTCTCAAAGTGGCTAGTAAACTCCAAAGACAAAACTGAACATAAAAATCCATGTTATTTAAAGACTAGTAGCCCGGTGCATGAAATTCGTGCACATTAAAAGGGAATTAATTGCCCTAACCGGTTTGGCTCAGTGGATAGAGCATCGGCCTGCGGACTCAAGGGTCCCGGGTTCGATTCCGGTCAAGGGCATGTACACCTTGGTTGTGGGCACATCCCCAGTAAGAGGTATGCAGGAGGCAGCTGATCGAAGTTTCTCTCTCATCAATGTTTCTAACTCTCT